AGCTAAAAGTTATATGTTGGATACTTAAATGGAGTTTCTATAATTTGGTACAAAACGTTTTCTTTTTTACTTTTTGTCAACTGAAAAATAAGGACCAATAAGCTTTTAAACTGCGTTGTGGACGTTACATATGAAACTACCACATATTCAATTGCTTTTCTTTTATTGCATTTTCCTGTGATTTGAGAGATGTTTTACAAAAGTCAATATTATGGCTACACTTGTTGGTGATAAAAGCTACAATACAAAAATATCAACAATATCTTTCAATATATTTTTATCTTCAAAACATTGCGTTGTGGACATTACATAAAAACCGTTGTGGACATTATACATTATTGCGTTTCTTCAAAACTTTTTGGCGGCATTTTGCTGACAGGTAAATTGATCTGCATTCAACACAATTGTCTAATTATTTTTGTTCGCTCACTTACGTAACTTCGCCTTCAATATCAGACATATCAGGGGGGTAACCAGGATTTTCATTGTGGTTATCCTTACATTATACAAAATTGTTAATATGAAGTCATATATATGACTTTAATAATAATATGATGTCATCAATCTATGGCTTTCGTGCAAAACAATCGTGGTCGATAGAGTAGAAAAGAAAAGCATACGTTACTCGAACTATGTCAAGAAGTTTGCGGGAGTTTTTAGTCGGACTAGCCGAGGAGTTGAGTTTTACCTTTTAGCCAATCAATCTATCTATCTGTGTATTTTGTCGCCCTTTGGACAATCGGAAGTTAAGAATTTAATAATTAACTCATTGGGTTGGCTGTGTTATTACATGACCGGAAGCTCAAACGTATAGATATACTGATATTGTTAGTAAATGTTGGATTCTACTCGCGCTTTTTACTCGGGGTTCTCGACCCCGTTTTGGATAGGTACGTGCCGCCAGCAGTCTAAAACCTTGACCCTTCACTAGAAAGAGTGAAAATCCATACCCTGTTCAAGACAAATCGGAAAAATAAGGAATCGCTATCTACGCCGCAACCATCAAAACTGCAATTATACTGACATCCATCAAAGACAAGAAGAAGTTTTGATAACACGTTAATCCTACTACAGTGAAACGGTATTTCTTATGAAAATATTACCCTGTCCAAGACACAAAAAAAATTGTAGAGCCTGTTTAAGACAATTTAGGGTGAAATGTATACCCTGTTTAAAACATCAAGGGCAAAGACCATACCCTGAAAATACAGTAATATCAAGTCGCTAATTCTACATATTTTGGTGAAAACCCCATATAAATCGGTTAAATTGGAGTTAAAAATAATCAAAAATAATAGATTTTATTCAAATTTCCCGCCAAATGACCATATATGGTCAAAAAAGAAGCGATTTACACGCCCACAGGATAAAGTGTATCACAATTATACTTGTACCATAGGGCATGKAGTCAAAATTGTAGTTTTTTTGACTTGGGACTATACGCTTATTTTGCGTTTTTCGTCATTAAGTACGTCATAATGACGTCAAAACACGTCACAATGACGTATTTCTTGACGAAAGAGGAAAAATAAGCATACAATCCAAAGTCAAAAAAACTGCAATTTTCACTCCATGCCCTATGGTACAAGTATATTTGTGATACACTTTATCCTGTGGGCGTGTAAATCGCTTCTTTTTTGACCATATATGGTCATTTGCCGGGAAATTTGAATTTTTCAATTTGTTTACAACTTTTTACCGTTTTATCCGATTTACATGGAATTTTGGGGATTAACATTAGTTTGTTATGGCAATGTTAGCAATAGTACAATGAAGACTAATTATAACGTTTTTAGGGATGTTCTAAAAATAGCTGGTGCTAGTGACGTCATAACATTCAAAAACGTTAAAAATTCCTTCACAATTTGTAG